AAAAAAAAAAAAGTGCTAAAGTGAATAGAGAGAAATACTGTTAACCGATGGTATATTAGAGGGGATTATAATCATTGTAACGAAACAAAGTGTATGATTTGTTGAATGTAAAACTGATGATCTGCCCTGTAAACTTTCACTCAATCCACAATAAAAACTTAAAAAAATAAAAAACTCAGTTGAGGAGCAATAACCTTTTAAACTAAATGCTAGAACCATCTGATATCCATGAACAAAAAGGTCAATTTTAACCCAAACCACAAACCTTATACAAAAGTCAACTAAAATGGGTCAAGTAAAACTACAACATTTTTAGAATATAAGAAAGAAACTCTAGAACTTTAGGCTTGGTAAAAACCCAAAATGCCAAAAGCATGCACCATAAAAGAAAAATCTAATAATTTGACTTAATTAAAATGAAAAAAAAAACCTTTTACTCTGCCAGAGACCCTGCTAAAAGGATAAAAAGACAAGCTAGATCCTGGGAGAAAAATATTTGTAAACCAAATCTCTGACAAAGATTGTTGTTATTAAGTGCCCTCACGTGGGCACTGACTCACAGTGACCCTGTGGAGAGTTTCTGAGGAGCGGCTAGTGAGCTTGAACTGCTGCACTTGCGATTCAGAGTGCCCTTGCAGTTCTGCGCATCAACCGCAGTGCCACTAGAATAGGTAAAGAATTGAAAACAGGAAAACAAAACTCCAAGGAGAAAATGGGCACCAACATGAAGGAAGACACATCTCATCAGAGTACAAGCAGATGGCAGATAAGCAGATAAAGAGAAAACGTTCACCATGGCAGACATTTCAAACCAAACAAAACCAAACTCATGGCACTGAGCTGGTTCTGACTCACAAGGGCCCTACAGGGTAGAGGAGAGCTGCCACACAGGACGTATTACCAAGTCTGTCAGTCTCCACGGAAGCCCCATCTGTTTGCCATGGAGTGGCTGCTGGGTTTGAACTGTTGACCTTTTGGTTAGCAATTGAGCATTTTGCCACTGCACCACCTGGTCTCCTCAATGGGAAAATGGAACTAAGATCATGATGTGGTACCATTACACACCCATCAGAATGTCTAAAATAAAAAGAGTGATAACAGCAAATGCTGGTCAAAAATCTGCATCTCTCATAAATTGCTACTGGTCAAAGAGCCACTCTAAAGAAAAGTTTTGACAGTTTCTTAAAAAACTCATAACATGACTTAGTATCACACTCTTCCCCAGGGAAATGAAAATGTATGTCCACACAAAAACCTGCACACAATTGTTCATAGCAATTGTATGCGTAGTAGCCCCAAGTTGGAAGCAACAAAAATGTCACTCAAGAAGTGACGGATTGGAGAAACTGTGGTACATCGATACCATTCAGCAATAAAAATAAACACACAACCACCTGGGTGGAGATCAAAGGCACTATGCTGACTGAACCACCAGCCGCAACTAGAAAACCCTTTATAAGTCGCTATGAGTCAGCAGACTCAGTGGCAATTAATAACAGCAAATGCTGAGTGAAAAAGGTTGTACACTGCAGGATTCCAACTACAAAAGAGTGTCAAAATGACAAGGGGACAAAGCTAAAGAGCAGGCTAGTGGCTGCTGGGGGACAGGGATGGTGGCAGTGAGGGGCAGCTGTGAGGGAGCAGCAGGAGGGAGGGCTCTGTCGTGATGGAGTAGTTCCGAACCTGTGGTACAATTGTTAAGTGCCACGGAGTCAGTTCTGACTCGCAGTCACACAGAATCTATGCTCCTTTCCAGGTTGTGACAAGCATAGTATGGTTCTGTGCGAGGTGACCACTGGGGAGCTGGATGAAGAATATGGGGGCCCTCTCTTACCTCCCAGAGGCCCCAGGTACATAGATGGTCCCTACCCTCCTTTCCATCAATACTCAGAGAATCATAGGGGCTGGATCTTGTTCTCAGACCCTTCCACCAGGTATCTGGTCCAGTTACTCTAGGCCTGAGCACATATCCTCAGGGGTATGAGGTAAACTTCCTCAGTATACCCTAGCAGGGACGCAGGCTGGATCTGCTCTGTGTGCGGAACAGAGATGGGCAGTTATGAAGGGGAAGAAGAGACCTTAAAGGCTGAGTTAGGCATCAGAGAAAATTGAAACTGCATTTGCACCTGACTGCGCTTATAGAGGTATAGAGAAAAGGTAGCTGGAAAGAGCACCTGGGTCCAGAAAAATCTAGAAGAAAGGCAAGAGTGATAGCCCTTCAGCCAGAACCAACTTCTCAAAGGTGTTTTCTCCCAGTGGGACTTAGATTCAGACACCTCTGTCTTTAGGGATATTGCCTGGGGATAGGGCCGGCCTAGTTTCTAAATGCTGCAGGTATCCTGTTTAACTTTTTGTCATTTCAAGTGAGGCTTATGAGACTGGCACTGGACATGGGTGGGGAAGCCCGAGTTCGAGGGCACCTTGGGCCTCATACCAAGCAATGCTTCTCCAACAGCTCCACCTGTTGTCAAGCTGACTGCCTGTACGACCCACCTGCCGTTCCCTGTTCTCTTTGTTGCTTCTAAACTTGGGTGGGGAAAAGGGAGTGCTATTTATTGGATAACCACCGAAAACACCCTCCTTAACTTTTAACATACAGGCATGCAGCTGTAAAACTCTTGAGTTGCAGGATGTATGTGTGTATGTCTGAGAGAGAATGTGAATTAAGAAAGATGGCAAAACCCAGCAAAGCTCCAGAAAATCTTTCAAGCTATCTGCCCATGGTGATTAGACTCTCAGATGCCTGCCTGGTCAGTGGTGTGTGGGCAGCCGACCCCTTATCCCATGAAGGCAGAAAGGGTCATATGCTGGTGGGAAGGGGCTGTCCTGAGGGTACAGAATGGCTGGAGCTCCACACCTGTGCACACAGGCACAAAAGTCAGGTCACAGAGCAGATATGTCTTTATGTTGATGACTCTCAGCTGTCATTTCTATCCACTCTTCTCAAGCTTAGTGAGGCCCTTCCTCCAAGAAACCATCTCCACCTTGTGTTCAATCTGTCAGTGCTGAACGGGTCACACCTCCCACTGTCCTCTCTCCACGCCCAGCGGCCCTACCCCTCTCACGCACAGGAACACGCCGGGTCTCGCCTCCATACCCAGGGTTGCTTCCAGAGTCCCTGTATCTGCTGCCCGGTATTATGGGTAAAGATGCACTTCCTCAGTCCCCATCACTTCCCTACCTCCAGCACCCCTAACCTAGCGGCTGATGCGCTCTTCTTGGCCCCAGCCTGTTCTCTCCTGTCCCCATAGACTCTCTTAAGGAGATCTCTGTGCCCAGCCTTTCTTCTCTAGCTCCCCACATACTTGGACTTGCCCACCGCACTGTCTCCCAGACAGATGATCTTCACGTTTTCATCAGCGTCGTATTTCTCTTGGTCCAGTTCACAGGCTTTGGCTCTGTCCCTGGCCATCAGCCCCTGGTGATGAAGAGGCACCCGTTGCACTGTCTGGGGAGGGCAGAGAAATGAGAAGTCTACTCCGCATGCTGGTAGCGTGGTGGTTACGAATCGGGCTGCGAACCCCAAGGTCAGCAGTTCGAAACTACCAGCCGCTCCGCGGGAGAAAGATGAGGCTTTCTGCTCCCGTAAAGATGTACAGCCTCGGAAACCCTGTACAGGGTGGCTATGGGTCGGAACCGACTCGACGGCACTCAACAACAACTCCGCATGCTGCGGACTCTGAGAGGGGCCACAGGCTCTGTATGCAGCCCCACTCTTAGTTTCAGAAAACCACGAGGGAGCTTGAGCAGTTTTACATATGAATCTGCTCTCTCAGTAGGACAGCAGTGCCCTGGCCGTAGGGTCAGTGTTAGTGCCTGCACCTGGAATGGCTCATATACTAAACCCACACAGCCGAAAGCCCCAACCTCACATTCCTGACCTCCTACCCGCATGCCTCTCACTTCCCTTCTTTGTGCATCGCACTGCCACCGCAAGTGCCTTCTCCTCCCTCTACGATGAGGTTCCCCAGACCCCCCTTCTCCGGGGCATCTCAAGTTCCAGAGGTTTCACATATCTCCTAGATGCTGATGACCTGTCCCTTGGTGTCCGGCTCAGACACGCAATTGTGTCCCAGGTAGGGACTAGCAGACGATGCACACAGGCATAAACAGCAAGTCAAAACACAAAGAATCCACTCCTGCTTCCCGGGCTGGGCCCTCCGCCCGGGTGGCTTCTGGCTCCTGTGCGGCTGACGGAGATCAGGGCCGCCGCCCCTACCCTCACCCTCCCTCTCTCCCACCTACTCCAGATCATCGGACGACACACTTCCCTTCCGGATGGGCCCGCGTCCTCGCAGCTGCTACGCAACCGCGCCAGGACCCCGAGAAGGGCTGCCCGGCCGAAGGCCTGAAGGACCCGGCCGGATTGCGGGCTGGCTAGCGCAGTGCCTGTCGGAGCACCCAGGGGAGTCCCCAACTCTGGCAGGTTAGGCTCAGGTTAGTCGGGAGTCAGATGAACTTGGGCTCGGGACTTGGAGCAAGATTCACTTGGCTGCAGGCCTCTGCAGTGACGGGAATCCTCAGGGCTCTGGTATCAGGTGTGGAGGGCTGTGTGACTTTCTGCCTCGCTCGGGGAGCCCAGGGCTGGGGGCTTCAGGTGTGGGAGTAATTCCTCACATTTGCAACCCTCGATTAGATTACAAATTCCGCAAATTTCCCGACATGTGTTCATCCAGAGCGGAGATCCCTCCTCAGGTGTACAGATTGAGCCATACCACCAACAGCTACGCCGCCAAGGGCTCCCATGCAGAGGATTACGGCTCAGCGACCCTATGTTGTTGTTGTTGTTATGTGCCTTTGAGTCCGTTCCGACCATAGCGAGCCTGTATAGGGTTTCCGAGCAACAGCTGATGAGCTTGGACCACCGACCTTGAGGCTTGAGGTTCCAACCGCCTTTGCAATGCAGTGCATTTTCCCACAGCGCCACACCAGGACTTTTGTAACGAGGATACAGGAGAGCAAAACAGCCCTGCCTTCCGGGAGCACACCTTCCCGAGGGCAGAGAGATGCGCCCCACTGTAGAAAACGTGTGCAGGGCGGGGAGGAGGTCTAGTGGCTGCTGACTAGTATAATCCCTACACAAGGGCTGTCTTTTGGAACGGAAAGGCTCCTGAGGCTGGAACAAAAGGAAACTACGTGAAGCCGCGGCCTGGAGAGATGCCAGGGCCATGCCTTCAAAACCTGGCAGGCTCGGTGGGGGGCTTTGGTTTCATCCTGTGGGCAGAATGTGCCATAAAGGGTTAAGGAGGGGACTCTCTGATTGAATTTACACTTTACTGAGTGAAGGACCAGGGAGTGGGGATGGTGGCTTGGGCTGATATGGTGTGTCAAGGAACATTTCAGAGGTTAAAACAAATATTAAATTAATAATTTATTTTATTTAAGCAGGAACAAATAATTCATGAATCAGGCAGCACCCAAACCTAAAGTGTGAAGGAGCTCTCAGAACAGGTAAAAAGGGCACGGTTTATTTAGCAAGATCAAGGAAATTAAAGAATTAAGGTTTCGCATTTGTGGAAATAGGATGTTCAAATAAAATGCAGTCATAAATGTGGTCTGTCGGTGATCTCACTGACAGTCACTAGGATGACCCTGTGCAGCTGTTGTTACTCTAGGCGTATTACACTCCGTGAGCACGGGGTACGGGGCACCAAGCCAAGTTATGAGCAGTGTTAGGGTCCAGCAAGTTTGGAGGGGATGCATTGTAATTAATTTATCTATGTTACCTTTTGATTGTGAATTGAGTGAAGATTTACAGACAAGTAAAGCTGTACAGACAGCTTTACATTCAACAAATTATACACTTTGTTTCATCTCAATGATTACAGTGCCTTCCCTGCAACAACAGTTAACCTACTTCTTCCCTGTGGCTCCCCATTTCCATCTTATATTTAACAAATGAACAAAACAAGAATATTTGATGTACACATAAAAACCAAAAAAATATATATTCATTTAAATGTCCAATGGGCACATTCTGCAAGGCATCCTCCTGCCCCCAGGCACACAGCCATGCCCAGTCCACTGGCCTCCAGCCTGCAGCTGCTCTGTCTGTCCCTGCCTCTGCTGTTGCTGCTTTCCCAGGTAGGAGCTCACTCTGCACTCCTCCTCTTCCTTCTTGATAGTCTGGGATCGTCTGTCCCTGAAAGAAAAGATTAGCTACTCCCCACTTTTCGTTACACATCTACAATCACAGTTTTGACCATCACAATTAATCTTGCTAGCAATTACTCGGGCATTTTTGTTCTTTGGTCAGGCATTCCAGATGAAAAGGGCAGCTTTGCCCGAGGACAGAATTCAGAAGGGTTGGGAGAGAAGGAGCAGTGGAAACAGGAAGTCCCAGGAGGAAGTGGCTAACTGATGGCACGTGGAGGGGACCCGCCGTCACTGAGGTGAAACGAAGCACATGGTTTGTTGGATGTAAAACTGATGATCTGCTCTGTAAACCGTCACTCAAGTCACAGTAAAAAGTTAGACAGCAACAAACCGATCCAGTCCAATTTCATTGGTTGAAGATACCAAAATGCAGGGTAATTAATAATTATTGCCAACCGTTATGAATTGAATGAAGCCTCCCCCTCCCCCCACCAAATATATGTTTTAAATTCTAACCTCTATGGCAGGAGTTCTGGTGTGGCGCTGCAGGATAAGCACTGGACTACTAACCACAAGGTTGGCAGTTCAAACCTACTGACTGCTCCTTGGAAACCCTGTGCAGGGTCACTATGAGTCCAAGCCCACTGACAGGATGGCACTTAACAGTAACAACATGCCTGTGGCTATAACCCTGTTTGACAATGGGTAATCTTTGTTATGTTCATTAATGAGGGTAGCGTGTATATTGAACCAATCTCTTCTGAGATATGAAAGAGATTAAACAAGCAAGGAGAGATGGGGTTAGATAGCTCCCTCGCTGATATTGCTGGTAAGTGCCGTTGATCATAGCGATCCTGTATAGAGGGCTTCCAAGGAGCAGCTGGTAGGTTTGAACTGTCAATCTGTGGTTCACAGTCCAGTACTTATCCTACAGTGCCACACTAGGAGTTCAAGATAAATACTCAGTGGAAATCTCCAAGGAACCTGCAAGCTGAAGAGACAAGGATTTCCCTTCAGAACTAATACAGAGAGAAAGCTTTCTCTGAGACTCAGTGCTTTGAATTTGAGCTTCAAACCTTTTGTACTGTGAGAAAATACATTGCTGTTCATTAAAAAATACATATCTTAAGCTACCCTATGGAGAGACCCATATAGCAGAGGACCGAGGGAGGGTCTTGATGAGCAGGGAAGAACTGAGACCCCTGGATGCTGAGTTCTGCCCATAACGGGAGTGAGCTTGGAAGTGGATTGTGGCCCATCGAGCCTCAGTTGAGACCACAACCCAGTCTCTGGAGACACTTGGAGGCAGAGGCTCTGACTAAGCTGTGCCCAGGGTTCTGGTCCACAGACATGTCATCCACATGTGCTAGCATGTCGCCGAGTAGGAGATAACTCCTCCAATGCACAGCCTGGGGCCTGAGCCTGCCTTCCTCCCTCCTTCCTCTCCTTTTATTATTTTTTTTGTGAACTTTTCATTCTTTTGCACATTTTTTCTATCATGTGGCTATTATTTTCTTACTGATTCCTGTTGTTGTTAAGTGCCGTCAAGTCGGTTCCAACTCACAGCAACCCTGTACAGGGTTTCTGAGGCTGTAAATCTTTACGGGAGCAGAAAGCCTCATCTTTCTCCCGCGTAGCAGCTGGTAGTTTTGAACTGCTAGCCTTAAGGTTCACAGCCCGATTCGTAACCACTACGCTACCAGAGCTCCTTTACTGGTTCCTAGGAACTCTGTATCTTGGGAACTTAGACCCTTTGTGATTGAGGTGTAAATAATTTCTGGTAATCACCTTTTTGTTTTTTCCATTTATAAAATTAGGGTGATTTTACTTGGTATGCATTGTTAAGGTGTCAGTATGTGAATCAATAAAATATCAGCAGATCTCTTCTTGTGGAAACTGATGGATGATTAAAAATATAAGTGGAAATGCAAAGGGTCAAGTACATTGAGAAGAACACTGAAGGAGTTACTCCACCATCTCCATCTTGGTCCCTCCACTCTCAGCTGTTTCTCCCTTCCTGATTGTTCTCTCAGGGGACGTTTGAATGTGAACTCCTGCTTTACTTACAGTTGTCCCCACTGTTCACATCGAGGCACGGATGGTTCACCCCACTTCTGTTCTCACTTCTAAATCACTGGTCGGGAATCTTAACCCTGAATCCAATTCGGTGGACTGCCGGCGGGGGGCGCGCGAGTCGTTGGTTCTGTCTGCCCTCCTAGTGCTGAACTTTCCTTCCCGCTGGACTCACCGCCCAGCAAGGGTCCGAAGCAGCGTGAAGCCCAAGTGCATACCACGCTTGGTGCTCCAAGCCCAGACTGCTGGAGAAGAAGT